TGAATAAACGACAGATGTGCGTGTGTTTTGGCTTCTACCCATGGATGCATACATCTCCAGACCTAGCTGCAGAAGTGGCTGGTATGGTAGGTGTGAGTGTACTCTCCGTGAATTACGCACACTTAAATCCACAGTTCAGATCCATGTGGTCGATCCTCAACAGCCGTGCTCGATTCAGCTTCAATCGGTACTATTCGCATCTACGTGTTATTGTTGCCATCCCTCTGCGGAGGAAGATAAGCAAGTATCAGCACACATTGATTTTTTTCTTAAAGTTATTCGTTTTGCTCAAGCATCCCGCATGGGTGACTTTGTAGCAAGAGGCCGACGTGGTGTCATGGAAGAAGCGCTCAAAACTGGCTTTACGATGTTCTCAGGTTTTTGGTGGTGTCGGTGGTTGTAGTAGTATGCTGGTTCTTGTGTACCGATTCACGGACGCACCAAACTAAACGCAATTTGCACCTGATGCAACTGATGCAGCAAATCTCCCATCCCAGATTTGCTGACGTTTAACTGCCTCAAATTTTGTGCAATTTTTGGATATCGTATATACACCCTTGAGTTGAGTCCTACCACAGGCATGTCTGCACGACACAGCCACTTAGCTGGCCTTATATTGCTAGAATTCATTTCAGCCGACACGAGAAAGCTACACATGTGGTTTAGCATTGAGTCGCGAGAAGACCACACTGAGACATAAGGTTACCTTTGAACGAATGGGTAACTCTGAGGCCTGTTGAGTAATTCTAGGCATGCACGTTTCTAGTTTCGACAGCAAAGGATGTCCGAAATATCCAGGAACGTCGTCACTTACGCCGAGTTTTCGAACTCTGGCCATAGCGATGATTCACATTAAGACTAAAAAACTGCAGGTGATCAAATATCGTCTCTGACATTGTCCATGAACCATGTTTTTAGGGTTTGTAGTGGTTTCGAGCGTTTAAGGCATGAAGGACTGCGCAAAGCTGCCTGCCTCCACTCATGTAAATGACCTAATTTGTGTTGATGCAAAATTCTCTTGTTCAGTGGAATGCAACGAAAGTGATTCAGTGACAGTCGAAAGTCACGCAGCGCAACTTGTGCACGACTAGGTAAACATCACAAAGCCTCTGTACCACCAATCATGGTCTTCTAATCCATCTCATTTGGTGCCACAGTAGGTCCAAAACATTTGCTGTTACCCTGTTGGCGTGCGTGCATGGGGGCGCAAGACAGGGGCGACAACATAACCGACTAGGTCTCTGACGCATCCTAGAACAATCCCTAACGCAGTTGCAGTTGTTCAATTGTAGCACACAGGGTTTCACAGGTGCGATCATCAACCAGTAAGCTGACGCACGGTGTTCACACTAGTGTTGTGTATCACGATCACTCGTCAAAGCTTTGTTTTGGAGTTCCATGTTCGTGAATACTGAACTCGCAGTTTGCAACCGAGCGAACCATGTATTTGGTGAATCTTAAGGACTGCTCAAAATGCGTTGCTGTGAGTACACAGTTGGTTGTCGCTTTGGCTTTACGTACTTCAACCAAAAGAATAACATACGCTTAAGCGGGCACATACCCTTTTAGAAGTTGAAATAATGAGAAACACGGCGTTAGACATACTTATGACAGTTTCATAAGACATAAAGCAGGATTTCACACCCGTTATCGTAAAAGAACCCCGTAGCCTTACATAGCACTAATGTTTTTTAAAGAGAAAGTTTGACAAAATGCGCAGCAAGCACAAAACAGAAAGACGTCAACCGAAAGAACAGAGTAAATGTAGCATTACAATAGGCAAGCATTAACAACATTGCGGAAAGTTATAGTGAGGTTATGCACAATAAATCTCAGACAAGAGAACCAGCAGAAGGAAAGCAAAGGAAGCAGGAAACCTGTATCGCAGGTTAACTAGAAAACACAAGTTCAAAGAAGGGTGATTGCTTGGGAAACAGGGCAGTGCCAGTCCGACGACACTTCAAATGACCTACACTGAAGGCATGTGGTCAGAGCATTACGAAGGTAGCATTGCTTTCTTACCGCCTCCACACTTCGCTTCGCATGCCTCCTTGGTCTCGAAGTTGTTCGCATTTCCTCTGCACCCACCGTAGGTGAACTGAACACATTGACCCTTCGAGAGGTCATAGGTCCATCGGCGAAAGCCTGCCCGACAAGGACCAACTTCTTGCGGTAACTTGCATACTGGGTCCAAGGTCTCGTCATTTGAGGCAGGTATTGGCATTGGTATATTGGCTGGTGTGTGAAGAAGGCACTCAAGTATAACACAACCATCTCGAAACCAACGCAAACATTTCATGAACTGATGTGTAGGTAGCAATGCGTTGCATTGCAACGACATATTATTACTTGGCCTAATGTCACTACGTTGCTCCTTCAAAGGTTGCCCTTTTCTCCGTTGTCTGTGCACCAGTCATGACGTTACAGTAAACAGTTGAGGAGGGGTCTTGATGAGATTGCTTTGGTAACTACGCCTAGTGTCTTTATTAGAAATGGACACGTGACGGCTAACAGTCTAACGAACTGATCATTCGTTCCATTCGGTGATATAGGTTGGGTAATCTGTACAAGATGTATTCAAGGCAAGCAGTCTCTTCAAAATCTTTCCCTGTAAATTGCAGACTAGTAGGCAAAGGTTTAAATGCAGTCAGCCAACGAACGCTTATAAAACGCTAACCTGCCAAATATGACCTAAACACATACCTGCCATCAATACTTGGACAATTTCGTCAACACGACTGTCCGTAACTCCACAAGATTGGAGACAATGTGAAAATTGGTATACAACGAATGTAAACAAAGAAGCATAGCTTCAAAAAAGACAGAGGCATGTGCCAATGTAGCCAATGGTACAGTTCTAGCTGCTGGAAGCACCAAATCACTACGTACCGATGCATCGCTGCTCACAGGCTTCCTTCGATTCGAAGTTGTTGGCATTGCCACCACAACCACCGTAGATGAATTGCACGCATCTTCCTTGACTGGCATCGAACCCCCATCGTTGGAAGTAGGCTAGACAGTTGCCTTGTTCGAGTGGTAGATGGCACACTGTGGTATCGACTACATCAGCTCCGGACTCG